CGTTGGAGGTGAGCTGGGAACGACAAGGCTGATATCGAATCTAACCAGATTTCCATCCGAACCAGCCAAGGGTTAGATCGTCACAGGATAGCACGGGAGCACGACCAGGTTGACGTCACAACTGATAAAGCAGGATTTTCTTTAAGGGCTGCTTCAAGAGGCAAACATCAAACTCAACTGGACGCCCGGTTCGATCTTCATCTTCAAGGGTGAAATCTCCACCTCTGAATTTTGCAAACCATCTTCTTCAAGTTCTTTCATTCACACATTCCTCTCCATAAAATGAGTGAATGTTTCTAGCCGCTTCGGCTGCTGAGTTTCCTTTCTTGAACTCATAAAGCATTAGGTGCCTCAAATGATTCTTGGGTATTTCCATGTTAGCAGGGCTTTAATCAAACAAAATTTAATTTAATTTTTCTCTGAAATAAAATTTGATCAGTTTAAATGCATCTAAACATCAAAATAATGTTCAGCTCCATTAGACATTAGAAAATACTCTTGAAATTTCGTTCATTTTAAGAAAAACTTAAAATTCGGACAGAATTTATGGGATGAGCTGATAATTCTTTGCTTATTTCATTTTCCCCAGAATTTAAATTTTTTGTGTGGCTGTTGTTATCAATTAATTGATTTTATTTGATTATCATACCACAATGTCTTATTTTGTGATTTCAACTTTTCTCGAAGTTACACTATTTTTTGGTTAAGCTTTGTGGGGATTACCTCCACCTGGTTCACTTAGACGCCTACTAGGCAGCGCTGTTTCTAGCCTCTAAATAAAAGAACGGACATAACACTTTCTCCCTCTCTCTTTTTGACTCTGAAGTGTAGCAGTGTTAACATGTGTCTTGTTGCCCATGCTGAGGAAAAATGTATTTCCCTTGGACAATTTAATTCCAGATACCTCCACGGACTTTCTAAAAAACTGAAAACACATTTTAAATGCCTTCTTCTTTGAACTTAAATTTCAGTTTAGTCTAAAAGTCCGTATGAAAAGAAAGAATTCATTTCCCTGTATAAATAAACTTTTTAGGCATTTTAAAAGCATTATTAATTTTTTCGTCGCTCATCGAGCCACCATTGTATACGATAAATCAAAACAACAAATTAAATTCTTTTAAAAATCTAATTACATGTTCTAGAGATGTTTTTCAAAGTATAGTAAATTTAAGGATTAATTAACTGGATTTTCTAAAAGTAATGCTTAAAATGAAAATAACGCTACACACGCTGGTGAGTTTGACAAAAGGTAAAATTAAAAAGACTGTAACTCTACCACTGTTCGAAAAAGCGTTGGAAAAAGTAAGAATGAAACATAAAGAAGTACGGAAGACCAGCTGTGCAATAATCAAGAATTTGTTATTTAGGTTTAAAACTAAATTTTCTTTAACCTGATATAACCAATAGTTTAAGAATATAAAGACATGAAAAATTAAGTTTCTTTGGAAAGCAGTTTTATCAGGAATGAATATGCTGTTATCTGTATTATGTGTCTTGCCCCATTTTGGTTGACTTTATCTGTTTGGGGTGGATGATTTTCATTTTTGTCTGGAAAGATTGGGGTTATTAAAAAATGATAATTTTATGTATATTTCAGACAAAATTTATGTATGGAACTTCCCGTGGAGTAACCTGTTTTTATTATTTTAGATATATGAGTGTGTGGGGATAAAATAAAAATAAAAATACAAAATAAAATAAAAGTACAAAATTAAATAAAAATACAAAATAAAATAAACATAAAAATCTCCCAGTAGTCCTCTGACAGGAAAGACAATTTACGCATGTGCAAAAAGAGAGATTTCCTGGCGCCAAAAATAATCTAGAAGAATCTATCTCTTTCTCTGTTGGACCTTTGACTGGTGAACACGTGCCAACTGTTCGGGAAGGAAATTCCCCAACAAGAGGTTGTTGGAATCCAAAAGAAGGAAATAAAATCAGTGTCCTAAACTGTCCCTCTAGTGTCTCCGTATCCTTCTTTTCTTTGTCTATTTATTTCAGCGACGAAGGCAATTCAACAAGTTTTGGATGTTTAGGTGAAAGAATCAACCCAGCACTAATAGCCATAACGTCCAGTATAGGCCCAGATATCATTTTTTAATAAGTTGTTGTTTGGCAAACATGGAGTCAGAGCAAGAGTTTGCAGTATTAAATATTTAGATATTTCTACATGGATTTAACCACATGTACCATTTTGTTCAACTACATTTAAGCATATTTGGAGCAGCTTCCTGATTGCATCTTCCCAGAACTTGGCTTCTTTCTTGGTGATTAACTGACACGTCTAAGTGTTTTATGAGCTTTCAGAGATTTGATGTTCTAATTAAGGGAATTTTGTAGGGACTGTGAATATCTGAAGGTACAAGGTCAGATGATTATAACGGGTATATTAAGACATCCCATTCAAGCTGCAATAATTTTTGTCAGCTTTTCAGAGACATTAGATTTAGCATTTAGATTTAAAATGACTCGCTCTTGGTTGGTTAATTCCTAATGCTTTTCATCAATTGCTGCATTTCATTAGTCCAATTAGTCTGATTCAATGTCTAATTTTGTGAAAGGAGCTCATAATATACAATGTCCTTACAATACCATCAGTTACAAAGCATCACCTACTTTGGATGTAGACTGTTTTTTGAAATTGTTAAAATTAACTCATTTCACTATGTCCCTTTTCACTCCACATTGTTGTAAACAATCTAATTTTTACCCTGTGATCATTCTTGCTTTGTGGTGTTTGAGCAAAGAATCGTAGATAGAAATGCAGTCCATTAACTTTTTTTCCGTTAAATCATGAGGCATCCAGAGAAATTGATGTATTATTGTTTTCAAATACCTTACATAGAGTATCTCTGTAATGTCCCTTGTCATGGGACTTGGATTATTTTTAATCAACATTTCAATTTGGTCATCATCAATGATGGTAGACATGCTGGAACATTCTCAATCTTCCAGATCAGAAATTTCAATTTTGAACCTAGAGGGTCATCTACAAACATTACTCTCAGATATGGCATCATCTCCATAAAAATACATATCTTTTTTGCTCTTTGTATAGCATTTTTCTACTTTCTGGAAATAAATAATAAAAAAAAACCCCAAAAAACACTGAATAACAAAAATGCATCTAATTTTTCTCCATTTTAATGTAGAATCATATGAAAGTCACAATCCACACACAAATGCGTGGAATTTTCACCTTTCCAAATATGTATATAACATAAATTTCATTCACGTGTGAAACGAAATCAGGTGTTTAAATAACACCTTCTATAAAAATGTTACACTCTTTTATTCTAACCCAATAGCATCATTGCTTGACATTTTTGAATGTAATGAATATAGATATGTTTTTAGACCCACTATGTCATTGGTTAACATTGTAATATTACTTTTATATTCTTTTCAAAATATAATTTCATTTGCTTGTGAATTGATTCTTGTCAACTCAGTTAGGGTGTCAGCCAGTGCAGAAAATTCAGAGAGTTGGATGAGTCTCATGAGGAATACCAAGGTGTTTGGAGTGATCATTAGTGATGGCGACGCTATGGCTCCATTCATCTTCCCACAGGTCCTCAGACTCAACACATGCTTTGTGGAGGTAGTGTTACCCTGGGTCAAGAGAGTGGCTGCTGGAAGACCCTATGTCTGACGACAAAAACCTGCACCATGCCACACAAACAAGAGAACCCAGTCATAGCTGTCAGACAATTTCTGCAACCACATCACCCCTTACATCTGGCTACCTAACTCCTCAGACTTGCAACCCCCTTGTTGAATGAGAGACCAACAAAACTCCTAGGTAATGCCAAAGATGAAGTAAAGGCAAGGATTATAGCAGAATTCACCAACTTAAACAAGGAGACTGTCCAGAAGAGTTGCAGGAGATTCTGAAGTCGTCTTGAGGCTGCAGTTGAAACCAAATGGCAATTTTATTGAAAAAATTTACTCTTTAGTACTTTAAAATATTTTTGCATAATTTTGGAAAATATATCTGTTAAAATGTCAGTGTGATTTTCATTTTGCATAATTTTGATAACAATTTATCCATTGCACCCTCCATACATATAGAGTTTCTTGTTTTTTCCCCTTCTTATCTATTTCTTGGTATATTCAATCCACCTGTTAAAACAAGGTATAAAAAAAAAAAAAAAAAAACTCCTCAAAGTTAAAGCATTATTACAGGGTTGGTTGTATTATATTGAGTCTTGTCTTGGAGTAGAGGTTGATGCTTTAATGTTGAGTGTTACATAAATAACTTGAGATGTATTTACAGCATAGCATGTTTATTTTCCATAACGAAATACTTTGAAGACATTTTAACATAAAACACAATAGTACATATATTAACATACAAGAACATATTTTATTACTTCCCAAATCAACAAAGACAAATAAACAAATAATGAATTTGTTTTGAACGAAAACAACAGATACCATAACATCATTGCAAAGTCATTATCTCATGGCAGGAAACCTTTTTTTAGCAATACAAGATTTGGCATAAAACATATTCAAGTAGCAATCTGTCCTTGTCTAAACTATACTCACTTCTCTTCAAATTTCATAATTAATAGTATTTTGGTGCACTATGCTCTGATTGATTATTCTTTGTCAAAAATTTTTTAGAATTTCTTTAACAGAATCATTTTTTTTTTAAAATCTTCTCAATTCTGTATTGGATGAAACCTGATATCTTTGCTTCCATTTAGATCTGCATTGTCATTTTTTAAAAAACTCTACTACTTTTTTATCATTTAATTTTATGTTTAAAGTGTTTTTGTTTTCCAATTCCACAATTTTTGGTAATGGAATGGGTGAGTTGAGTTTAAATTTGTCTAGTTTTCACTTGGGAAAGGCATGCATTCTAGCTCTTCTCCATCAAGCTATGGGTTAAATAGACTGGGCTATCTCGTATTGGATAGCAGTTAGTCTAACAGGAGGATAATTCTGAATTCAAACCATGGAGAAGGCAACGTGAAACCACTCCCTGATCTTTCTTAGAAGTCATGGCAATTCCTGGATAATAAATAAAAGGGAACTATGTAGAGCCATGATTATAGATACATCCTGAAGCAACATGACATTTAAGGGAAAGACAACAATTATGAAAGGTTATCACTTGTATTACTAAAAAGTACTGGGAGGGACATAAATAAGAGTGAATAAATCTAAGAGGATTTAAATGAGACCTTAGTAAATGTTCAAATATTGAGAGGTGTGTGTGTGTGTGTGTGTGTGTGTGGGGTATATTTTATGAGTGATGTTGATGCATAGGAATAGTGAATGCTTGAATGGTGTAAAAAAAAACAAAAAAAAAACTAAACATTTCTGGACATTTGTTACAACTGAATAGTTGAACAAAATTGTTTATTTGAGGCCAAAGTGAGGCTCAGGCAGGACCTGGAAAAAAGTCCTCAACAGTGATTGGACGGAAAATATTTATGGTGTTTTGTAGCTACAAGAAGAGAATGTTTCGATCCCCTCTGTAAAAAGTGTCATTTGACTTTAACTCTTCAAATAGTAATGAAGAAGATCATTACAACACTTTTAAGAAATAAATTCACTTGTGAATGTGGTCAATACAGAAAGTATTATTAAATTTCAATACTTGAATTTCTGAAGATTTTTTTTGAATATGTGTATATCAAGCAGCCAAATTTTATTTCTGCTGTTTTGTTTTCATTGCTATTCAACTGCCTTCTTTTCAAGTTTATGAAAATTGAATTAATTTTTATGTGACTTTAATGGATTTTTGAATCTGGGTGCTTCACAAAGAAGTGGCATATTAAGAAGTTTTGAGACTGAATTTTGTGATCAATTTGGTTAGAAGCAATAATGTTAGAGAACAGGTTGATTAAAGTGCAAGAAAAAATATTCAAAGAATGCTATACTCAAATTGATTACATTAATGACCAACATAGTTCTAGTAAAACTGATGTGGAACTAGACAATTTGATGGTCTATTTGTCAAAATGAAAAGATCTAAATGTCAAATTAGATCAATTGATTTCTTATACTGGACAACTGTTCTCAAAGAGCATTTTTGTTCATAAATTAATGCCATGTTTTTAATTAGAAAGTTTTTTCCCAATCTGATGAGTACTGTAAAACAACAGAATGGAGACAGTGATTCAGTAGTAATTGTGCAAATAACTTGTGTTCAACACTGAGTTTAGCATGAGGCTAAACCAGAAGTTGCTGAGAGAGGGGAAAAAAACCCCCAAAAAACTCAAATTAATAATCCTGATTTGGAAAAAGACTTTTTTGCTACAAAGGAAATTATTTTGCTATCACAAGCTAGATGATGAGAGAAGAAAAATGTACTATATGGAAGTCATACCAATAATCATTGGAATACTAATCTTCTGTAAGAAGACTGAAGGAACAAGAAATTGATTTTATTCTGTTCTCTTCCACATTTTTTCTACTGATAAATCTATTGTCATAATCTCAATCTAATTGTTGTATTTATTGTGTCAGAATAAAAGTTTGTGGAATTTTAAAGTGAATTTAAAATATTTGGATATTTCTATATAGGTTTATTCATTGTTTTCTACTAACTTTTGCCAGCTTTTTGAGGCAGTTTCATAATTCCATCCTCCCAGAACTTGGAATCTTTCTAGTTGATCTTACAGGCATCCCAAAGAGTTAAAGTTCTTCCTATTGAAATATACTTGTAGGGATCAAAATTAATGGTAATCTGAAGATGCAAGATCAGGTGAGTATGGTAGGTATAGTAGGACATCCTAGCCAAGCTGTATCAATTTCTATCACGTTTGGCATTGTCCTGATTCAAGATGACACTCTTCTGAATGGCCACTTCTGAATGCTTTTCATTGAATCCTGCCTTTAATCAGTTCAGTTGGTAACAGTACCTGTCTGAATTCAATGACTATGAAAGAAGCTTGTATTACACAATGCCCTTCCAATCTCACTAGATACACAGCATCATATTCTTTGGACATAGGTTTTTGTTGTTGTTATTGTTAATGGTGGCTTATTTATTTTTTTAATCCTCATTGTTAGAAACAATCTATTTTAATTGCCTTGAATCATTCTTTTAAAAAATGAGTCACTTTTGTTGAGTTTGAGCAGAGAATCAGATAGAAATGTGGTCAATTAGATATTTCCCATTAAATCATGAGTCACCCAAACATCTTAACACTTCTTTTATCATTGTGTTTTCAAATGACTTACATGTTACAATGCCTTACATAAATGCCTTACAATGCTCATATGTGGAGTATATCTGTGATATCATGTGACCTGGACTATTTGTAATCAGCATTTTGAATTGGTCATCATCAATGAGTGTAGACCTGACAGAACATGTTCAGTCTTCCAGATCAAAATTTCCAATTATGAACATAGAGAACCACTTACAAGCAGTAAGCTCAGCTATGGCACCATCTCCATAAATGGCACACATTTTTTGCTGTTTATATGGTATTTTTTTCCTTTCCAGAAATAAAAGTTCATCAAATGATGAAAATGCATCACATTTTACTTCATTTTCATTTTTAATGTGAAACATTCATGGTATAAGGAAAAAAATAAATTTGGTAATTTGCTTACTAACATAAATACATTTTTTTTAAGATGGGAATTTTTTTTTTGGCTAAATAAAATTTGGTCAAAATCATATTTGACTATTTTATTTACAATGCTCTATCTTTACACTTTGCTTTATCCATATTGCGCCATTTATGATTACTTAAAAATTTATCTTCATATGTTTTCAAATTTTCTTGATGTTAAGTGTATTAGTTATTTTAATTTTAAAATATGCTTGGTGAACACTTCAGTGTTTACCAAGCTTATTAATACTTTATTTCAAAGAACATTCTTAAATATGGTATTTTTTAATCTTTTCGTAATATCAAAAACTGGAAAGCAAAAAGGAAAAATCCCCCCAAAATTATTATTTATAAGAAAATGATTTATTTGTGGTGGTCAAAGGAAAATTGTCATCACTGTCTTGTTGGCTGGGAAGGGAGTATTTGGGGGAGGAGAATGATTTTAGCTGTTTGAACTTCAGTATTGATATCAGATTAGGCAGGTGTTCAAAAAGCAACAAGAAATTAAAAAAAAAATATAATCATGCTTTTTTTGTTGTTTTTTTTCTTAAAGCAGAAAAAGTCAAATCTGATCCAAATTGATATTTGGATAGGAAGTTAAAAAAAAAAAAAAAAAAATATGGCATCTCAAATGTTGCAAATCAAATGGACAGAAAATGAAATATTTACAATATTTTTTCTTTTTGTCTGGAAACAGTCTGCTCCCACCCTTGTAAAGGCATATTGAAAAAGAAATTGAAAGAATTCCAAAGAATAAAATCTTACAATATAACGGTTTGGGCTTAACTCCCAAAGAGAGTATATGAGAAAGAAAAAAACAACAGGTAGGGCCTTTCAGAGTGACCAGGGATGGGGACAAAATACACACTGATGGAACAGTGGATAACATTTAGCAAATTAAATTGAAATTATGTTCATCAACCTGTCTCAATCTTCATAGTTCTATTTTAATGACCCTAGTAGTAGCTTTTGGTATAAACTCTAAAAAGAAAAAAAAAATAGAAAAAAAGAAAGGCAAATCATTCCATTCATTCTGATCTTAAATCCAAGAAATAAAGAAACTGCATACACCATATATGGTTCATGATAGAAAATGTTGTTTGTGATCAAGTTCTGTAGGCTATACAGCACTGACTCTTTAACATGTACATAATAAATGTACAATGTTTTAAAACTTTTCTCATTAGGTCAAAATCACTGCAACTTCACTGTTCTCTCTTATGCCAGATATGTTGTGGCTGATATCTGACTCTAAAGAGCTGTGTGCTTGTGTTATCAAAGAAAGCTGGAAACAGAATGGAGGCATTATCTTAAAAACTGACACTGTCAATCTCATCGTGATAAGGAGTTACTAAGAAGCATGGAAACAGAAGCTAGAAAACTGTATCGCTTTAGTAAAGCAAATTAAGCATAATTTAAAGCTGTCACAAAATGTAAGCCTCAAAAATCAGGCTGTAAGAAGGAAAGATTACAAGCATCATTAAAACACCTTAATTATAATCATTTAATAGGTTGAATACTATGTTTGTTGTTTACTCTTTTACATGCATGTACATACACGCCCCCATATCATGGGTGTGCTGAAAGAAGTCTGCATAAAATATCTTATATTTGGGTCAGAATTTGAGAAATGGATAGGTCAAGGACCTTTCAGCACCACCTTTTGTGTGTATAGATATTGTTTGTACACACAATGTAAAAAGCTTTAAACCTCTTTGACAATGAACCTGGTGAGAATTCATAGATTGAAGAAACCACTAAGTGCTAAAAATCTGTCTAATTCTCCTTCCTTTTCTTTTAGTGTAAGGAACAAGCATCCCCTCCCCCATGCAGGAGAAGGGGTGACTATGTAGATGTTTGCTAATTTTTACTTCCTGAAAATTCTTGGGCAAGTCTTTGGTACTGGAATGTAAACTGGAAAAAAATCTGGTGCTTTTTTGGGTTTTATATGACAAAGCGAAACATCTTGGCAGATCTACTTCTAAATTTTTAATTTCTTTTTTTTTCTTTCAAGCAGAAAAATGTGGAATATGCCTTAAATAGAAAGAACAGGTTAAGTAAAAAGGGAGGGAGGAGTGAAGGTAGGGAGAGAGGACTGAGTGAAGAGAAATAGACAAAAAGAAGTAGAACAGAAAGAGAGGTTAGACATGTGAAAGGCAGAGATGAGGAGTGGTGGGGCGACAGGTAGTGGACAGAGAGTGAGAGAGAGAGAGATCAGAAAATGTTAAAGAAGAAATCACAGTGTTGAGGAATTCCATGAAATGTAAACATGTGGGAAATAAAAATTCAAGTTTGAAGCATGTTAGGCTTTGCCTAACATTCTTAACTCTGCTTTTAATACCATTTTATTTTCTATTCAATCTGCTGAGAATTTATTGAAACTTTCAAGTTTTGTGAAAGTGCTGAACACTTGACAGTTACCTGGTTAGTTTGGGCTCAGTCCTTTTGTCCTTGTTGCTAACTCTCTGCACATATTACAGCCCAATTTTCCACTGTAAGAGCAAAAATGAACTGACTAGAAATCTAACAACAAAAGACAATTGCCAGTATAATATGAAAGTTTTCTTACTGCCAAGTTTTTATCTGGGATCAACTCCTCCTTAGGTTAGTGGTTTTGAACCTTAAAAAATGGATCCCTTATCTATACCAAATGCAGATGGTCATGATTCAAACATTAGATAAAATGTTCTGTACTGGGCACTCCATGAAATGTGTGCTAGATTGTAGTCAGTGCTAGAAAAATTCTATCATCTTCCTCTTGTTTGGGTGACAAGGACAGTGTCCTGCTCCATTTTAATTCTGAATGGTTTGAAGTGAGAGATGGTAGAAAGCTGGAATTGTTCTTATTCTAGAAAAAGGCAAGGGGGAACGGGTGGCAGCAAAGAAAAGACATTTGAAGCTTAGGTAAGAAAACAATGATAGTAAAACAACAGAAAAAAACCCTGGGAATTGATGCTCTTGCACAAAATCAATATTTGATTAGGCACAATCATGTTTTACAAAAGAAATTTCATTCTTTTTCTAGAAACATTAGTGGTGGGAGAGGAAGAGGAGTAGAAGAAAGACTTTCCAGTAAAGTTGCAAAATGGAGAGAAATCTTGCAGAAAGCAGTGGCTATTTGAACGTCATAGCTCTTTACTTGAACAATGTGGCCAGTTTCGAGGAACGGTAGTCAACACGTAACTGTACAAAGGACAGGATCACTGATTTGTCAAGGCCCGCCTGAAAAAGAGAGAAAATTACCAACCAAGATAAGTACAGAAAAAGAAATATTTTATTGTGTTGTAATAAAAAAAAACCAAAAAACTGTTACTGATTTCAGAGATACGCTCCACCTGGTACCGAGTTGTACACTGGCTATGTGGGGTTTTTACCCACACACAATCGCCCAAGTTGTATGGCGTTCATTGTTTTACCTGTTCAGTTGAGTGTGTTGTGTCAATACCTCTTAGTCAGACTTTACACCAGTAAATCATGTTGGCTGGTGCAGTTGAGGGTGACACATTGTCTTTAGGGGTAACATTGTGTTAATACACCACTTCCATTATGGAACAGTGCTTCCTGGCAGCAATTCTCTTGATGCTCCAGTGGCAACACACAATTATGCCATTTCCTGATGGGACATATGTTCAGCGAAATCAGAGGTGGACTCCCCATAAATCAAAAAAATCTTTAAAGAGTTCAATGTGGAATGCAGTGTTGTTGTCAGTGAGGAGTTCTGTTGGAAGCCCACATTTAAAGAACAATGCCCTCAAGAGGTCAATCACGCTTGCGGAATCCTGTTGATGCAGGTGTTGCCAAATGGAGAACCGAGTTGGGCCACAGTCAGTTGAAGTGAGATAGTGGTTTCCATTGTGGTGGCTGATGTCCATTCCAATGCGGTGCCATTCTCTGCTCACATTCAGTTGTTCTGTTGGCCATAGCACAGGTGCTGGGTCAATGGATTGACATTTCTTGCATTCTCTGACCACTGCTCTGATGGCAGCTTTGGATATAGAGGGATCAATCTGCCTCACAAAATATAGAGTCCGTTTTACAGGGATGTCTGTTTTGACAATGCACAGATTTTAGTAGATCTGACTTCGCTGATGTTGCACAGACATGTCCCACCAGATCTACTTCTTTCTAAATAGCGTCAAGCCATCTCTGAGGCACCCTTATTAAACTATCTACCTTGTTCGAGTTTGATCTGACTAGTTGTATATTCACTGATAAGTTATACTTGCTTATCAACTTCCCTAATGTGTCTAGCCACCTTCAAGTGAGCATTTCACTTGCAGCCTTTGTATGTATCCTGCCTTTGCTGTAAGAGTGTCTGCGATCCACTTACTGCTGCATTTCATTGAAGGGCCATGGTTAAAAAACCCCACCCATTTCCGATAGGTTATGTTGTGTATCCTTTTCTGGACGCAATCAACATGTGTCTTCCACAACAGTTCCATTTATCTCAAGTGACACTCCTGTAGTAAGGAAGCTTGTGTTTAACCAGACTTTGAATTCATACCCACCAACACACCATTTACCATGTACAGGGTCATCTTGACTTAACCTGGTAATGACTTCCGTTATCATATCAGGGCAGCATCAATTGTTTGTCATCCCATCCAGAAGTGACAGCAGTCACTCTACGTTTGATAAAGGCAGTCGCAATGCAGATCCAACCACCCACTGTAAAATGTCCTACCAGTTTCCCACATAATGAAAAGACACTGTTTCATGTAAGGTGTCTAAAAATCTCTGGGAGCTCACTTCCACATTTCCAGTAAAGCATATTATGCTCCCCACAGACCTGAAACCTAAGTACACAAGGACTGTCCTCCAGTCATTCTGGATTTTTACACTCAAGCCCAAAATCGGCGAGATGCTGTCTTACCTGTGCAGTAGGCACTATGGTTTTGTTGGTGTAGATGTTGTCAATGTAAGCTGACATCACATGGTGAATTGTCTCATCCTTAGATAGCACAGCATCCATGATAGGTTTCATGATAGCTGGCGCCACATTGAGCCTGAACCCCATTCGCGATGGGCAGCACCTCCTCTCCTTGTCATCGTCTGAAATGGCCACAGTGACTGGTGCATGCGTACCTGCAAGTAGGCCTTTTGAAGGTCAATCACAGAGACACTGGTCTCTTCCTTCGTCATTCTCTTAATTTTTGTGCACACACATCAGCATGAGCCATGTATGCGTCTACATATTTGGTCAATTCCTGATAATCTAGTACAGGGCACCCCTTTCCTTTGTTCTTCTGTTCCACAGCCATTAATGGGATTAGGCCTCTTGGAGGACCAAGCTCTTCTTCAGGAAATGGAGTCAGCCATCCATTGTCCAGTCACACTTGCAGTTCACACTGATATTCTTCCCCAACATGTTTGGGCACTGAGTACTTTGACACTCGGTTCTGGAGCTTCTCTGTTGGGTTATTTCCTGACCATTTCCATGTTGCCTTTGTGCTTTCGTTGAACTCTGCACTAAAGCCAGGCCCACTGATCCTGAAGGTACCAGATGGACAGCCTAGAAAACTGAACCTCGCATGACCTTGTGATTTGCACTCAGCCCAGCTCCTTAATAATATCCATTCCAAGAAGCAAGTCAAACCACAATAATGTGCTGTCCATGACCAAGACACTGACAGTGACGGGGGTCACTATTATTGACACTGAGTCTTATGCTTTTGACTCCTTGACTTCTGCAAGCCTTTTCATCAGCTGTTAGTATGTCCATCTTTTGTCTGCTCCACTTCCATCAGATTGATTTGTTTGTGAGTGACTGCAAGCAGCCCAAATCTACTAAAGCAGTATGCATTATCCCATTGATGCACACCTTATTCACAGGGAACCCCTCATTCATGCTCTGTGCAGGGAAGAGACCGGCACGGAGATCGTGTCCCTCCATTCTACTTCCCAGACATATAGAGGCAATGTGGCTTAATTTCTGACATTTAAGACATCGTAGGTTGGGATGTACCTTTCACGCTGACCTGCCATGCATTTTTCATGTTTATAGTTGCAGTCCTTATTTGGCCTAGAGCACCAACAGCAGGTCACATTGCCATGGCAATGTATAGCTGGGGTTGGATCACCTTTGACTTCAGTTTGTTGAATGGCTGCGACAACTGGCTTCTTGGCCTTCTTTTCGTCGATCATGATGAACAACTGGTTGAGCATCATGTCTTCCACTCTGGATGATGCTCATAGTGTTTGTTTAACATGGCTAGGCAATCCAGATACAAAGGCACAGGTCATCAATTCTTCAAGTAGTGGCATGAAAAATATAACAAGCTTCATTAGTTCTGCCAAAAACATGTCTACTGTCTCACCAGGATGCAATCTGTAATTGGTCAGAGGCCACGAACTGTTCAGTTCCAAATGTGATTAGTAAAGCATGATTGATTTGCTCAATGTCAGCTTTTTGTTCTTTGTTTAGCTGCCTATACACGGCAAGAGCCCTGCCTTTCAAACACAGTGGAAGAATTTAATCGATCTTTGTGAACTTGCATAATTCATAGACTAGTTCTACATTCTCAATCCACTCAACAAAAGGCTGTCCAGTCTTATCACCAGTGAATTTGGGGATCAGTTTGATGTTGAACATTCTTTCTGTCATCTTGCTAAAGACAAAGTAAGGCCGAAATAGCTTGTGTTGTAATAAAAAAAATTGTAAACCTATTGTAGCATTTAATGCCTGCAATTGGTTTCTTCTGTCCATGACATTTGTAGCCAATTTAACTCAGCTGTTTGGGTATCAACCAATGGGGTTAGTAGAATGCTTAAAAGGAGAAAAATGAATACTCTTTTTATTTGATTCAATCACTGCAATTGTTTGCTTGCAAAAATTCTGTATTTGAGAATTCATCAAAGTTCTTCCTAGTCAGACAGAAATTCCTTTAAAACATTTTCAATTTACATTAAAAAGACAAAACAAAAAATTGTTCATCTATGAGGCCAGGTAACAAAATTCAGTTTATAGTTTACACAAACAAATTTTCTTTTTAAACAACAATATATAAAAAAATATAGTGTATTTTTAACAAGAGAAACAAATGTAAATATTTTTTTTTTTTAAATAGAAAAAGTAATTTTTAATAAATTCAATTATAATTAAATTTTGATCATTTTTTTTCATTGTTTTTGGCATTTTATTGTAATATTCGACCTGGGCATTGCATTCAAAGCAAAATATAAGATGGATGTATGGGGAAATAAGTAAAAAAGATTTGAATAATTTAACCAATGATTTTGTTTTTCATTCAGAAGCTCTCAGATGTACTTTTGGTTTCTATGAAAATGGAGATTTAAACAAATCAAATTGGAACAAGGTTTTAAGATCTTTTTGATAGTAACCATGATTACCGAACTTCAAGATCAAACTAGTATTTTTGATTATTTACTTCGATAAACCAGTAAGTCTAGACTATGAAGATGATGAAATTGTTTTTTCTTTGTCTCTATATAGAATGAAAATTGAATGGAATGAAAAAACTTAATGTAGTAGCAGGACAGAAAGACAAAATGAGAATTCTTACATCATTTGGGCATCAGAATATTGATATTTAGCAAGCTTAACATAGTTTGACACAAGGCTACAAATTTAAGGAAAAGAAGGAAGATTAAATTCTCTATGCAATAGTATTGGTTTAAGCAATGTTTAATTTTGGTACTATGGGCCACCTAGTGAGCATAAAACTCACTATTTTAGTCTGCTAAAACAGCTTGTTAACCATGACATCACAATGAAACCCTTATGCAGAGGAATACACATGATACAAGCTACAGGTTGTGACTACAACAATAGCACAAATAGAATTTATATTGGCCAAGTACTTATTTCTGCTGGAAGAATGAGATTAAAAAAATTAATTGAGTCAACACCCAAATTTGAAACTTAGCTAAGAAATTAAGGATTGTGAAGCAAGAACTCTGGAATTAATGCTCTTGTACCAAATCAATATTTGATTAGGTACAATCATATAAAAGATTGCCTAAAACAGCTGGGTAATTTTTTAACTGGTTTTTTGTTCAGAAATGCATAAAAATTAGCTTTATTTATCAATTTATCTTTTTTCACCAAAATCTGAAACCTCAAAACAGTGCATCTCAAAAGTAAAAAAGAAAAATCTTCGGGTAAAAAATTCAATTGTATAATTGCAATAGATATATTGAAGATTGATGTGATTTTAGCCTATATAATATAAATATTATTATGAGAAGGTTATTGATTCTTTTTTTTTTTTTAAGGAAATACACTGGTTCCTTAAAAAAAAAAAAAAAAACCCCACCGACATGAAGTCCTTCCACCCAGTTACAATCAGTTTATTTAATCTTATTCAGTTAGAAGAAAAGTTCTTAGGATTTCTAAATAAATTTGATTACTCAGAAATTATAAGAGTTTTACTGTAGTGACTGCTATGCTTTTCCATGCCCACAGTTTATTAATCTGTGATTGGCTAGAAAATCAATACTGCTTTTCTATAAGACAATTTAGCAATCGCAATCATCACTTTGAATTTTTCGGTCGTGAACTTGCTCACATGTTTCTTTAATTAGTAATTGGTTAAATTTTAACCAAGCAAACATTTTAATACTAAATCAGTTTTTCCCATATTTTCACTTGGAGCCTACAGGTACCTTTAAAAGAAGCAATTTTGCCACAAGCTGCCAGTAGAGTCCATCTATTTTGCCTGTCCACTATGACCTTACGCACACACAGACACGGATTTTTATAACACATTATACATATCTTTCTCTGTGACTCAGCCAAGTTCATGAACCAGAACTCTATTAATTTCTCTAAACAACACATTTCTTAATTAACTGTATTTTATTCTAACAGCAAACTATGCAACATAGAATCCTGAACATTCTTATTCAAGAAAATTTCTTTCAAACATTCAATCATAAATCAGAATACAGTTGAAGGGGAACAACTTTTTTCCTTAATCATTACACTTCATTGCATGATTGTATGTTATATTTCAATATATATTTATTTGTTGATCCACATATAGAGTTTCGTTGTTTTTTCTTGAATTGTTAAATGTACAATAGATATATGCGCTAAGAACATGTATCACATTACTTCAAACAAGATATCTTATTTTGCTGTTGATTTAACGGGGGATATTTTTCTTCTTTATATTCCAATATTTATGCTCAGCTGGGTAATATGAAAATGATTTAAAAGATGTTTATTAAAAGGTAACTGAAGCAACAGCAGAAATACATGATTAGGAAAAGACTCACCAATGGTTCCCCAGTGCAAACTTGTTTTAGTGTTTCAGGGACAACCACCAATAAATTGCAAAGAGCATGGAGCTTGTCAAAGAGTTGATTGATAAGAGGAATTTGGAATTCTTTCACAGTTTTTCTGTATTCATTAACATCACAGATCACAAGCATGGCCCCTGGGGAAAAAATAAAACTCAACTAATATGGAATTCTCTTTATTAGGAAAAAAAAGAAATAATAATAATAATAATAATAATAATAATTGATGAACAATCATTTGGTTGGCCATGCTGAAGTGTGGTAATAAGGTTGGTATTCTTGGTGTACAGATGAAGCATAACTTTCAACCTGTATTATGTAGGTGGGGGTTTGGGTTTGTGAAGATACAGTATAGTATACCTAGACGAATACTACCGTACTGGTAATATTTGGAAATAAAAAATAAAAAAAAATCAATATATCACAGCTGTTTGAGGGTATCTATAGCCTCACTAAACTTATACAAAGTCAATTCAGGTATGTTATGGTAAAAATTTTCTACCCCAAGTAAAAATCATCACAAGAATAGCAAACATCATTTTTGTCAAAGCTTATTTTCTCTGAAAAAAAAAAAGAAAAAAAGAAAAAGATTTTCATACTTTTATAGAGGTAAAACAAGGTAAAATATTGAAAAATGAGTGTTTTGTCATCATCTGAACAAAATATGAAGGAAACTTTTGATCTGAACCCCATGAAACTAGGTATTTTCTGAAAGCATTTCATTTAAAAGTAAAATTGGCTGGTGTAATTGACTCTAAAAAAACTTTTCATGGGGTAAAATGTGAAAAATAGAGAAAATTTTCCATTTTTTCTAGTTCTAAACAAAAATTTTCCACAATAATGTGAAATTAACCATTTTTTTTTTTTGAAAATCAGAAAGCCTAAATCATAATCAAACTACTTCAGCCATAAAATTGAGAGTTTGAAGCTAAACAAAATTCCCAGGGGGTCAAAAATAAGGCAAAATCTTCAAAAATTTCAATATTTTTTAATCCATTATCTGGTGAACTGTCAGTCATAATTCCATGAAAGTAGGTGTTTTCTGAAAACAATGTTCTTACATTTAAAAGTAAAACTGGCTGGTGTAAAGGATTTAAAATTCTTTTCAGGGAATAAAATGTAAAAAAATAGTGAAAATTTTCATGTTCTGAAAAAAAATTTTCCCCAATAACAGGAAATTAGCCATTGTTTTGAGATAATCAGAAAGCATAAAACAAAACTATTTCAGGCATAAAATTGAGTTTAAAGCCAAAAAAAAAAAAAATCCTAGGGTGTCAAAAATAAAGCAAATTCTTCAAAATCTGAAATTTTTAGTATTTCAATTCATTATCTGGCATAATATCAGTCATAATCCCATGAAAATAGGTTTATTCTGAAAGCAAACAGTATTTCCTTTCATTTACAGGTAAAATTGGTTGGTGTAAATGGTTCAAAATTTTTCTGATGTGGTAAAATGTGAAAAAATAGTGAAAATTTTCCATTTTTTCTTGTTCTAAACAAAAATTTTCCCCAATAACAGGAAATTAATCAATTTCTTTTGATAATCAGAAAGCATAAATCATCAAATCATAATTGGAAAATGTCAACTGAATGCCACTTACCAAGGTTTTTTTCTTTCAAGTCTGTGGTACATGAATCATTTTGAGATTGTGTGACAAAACACAAACACTGTCACCAAAAAGGTGCTTAACAGCACAAGACATCAAAGGAACAATACAGACAAGTCAAGAAATGTTGTTTTTTAGAACTTTTGAAACAAACTGTTTTTTTCCAATTTTGAATGTTTTTATATTATTTTTACATTTTATATTCTTATAAAATGTAAAAATAATATAAAAACAAAAACTTCAATGAAGCAGATGATGATCATGCCTGAATCAAGTCAATGCAGCCTCACACTTAGTTAAGAGCATCAGGATACAGAGTCTTAATTCAAACAAGAGCAAGCACCACCTTTGTAAAAGCTATTATAAGTTTTACACTTTTTGGAAACCAGGACAGCAACAGACCTATCTACTTCACCTTTAAGGGCATGCTTATTTATTAGCAACTCTTGCTTCAAACCAGGGTCCATGATACAGGCATATGTACACTGATCTTTTTTTTATAAAGTGATGCAAACTCTCCCCACCTTCCTCGCTGAAAAGTCCTGCACTTCAATGAATTCTGGCCAAATGAGGAAGATGAAAAATAAAATCAAAGGGTTTTACATTGATTGGATCTGATGGGAAATTTTTCTCCCATTTTCTTACAACAAAATTCCAGATCATCCAGTTGATGATCACTCAAAAACGTTCGCAGTACCATGATCTGATGGGCCTTTGAATACACTTCAAAAGGTTCTGTCAAATGGTGGGTGACGTCAGAATACTGAGGGGACAGGACACTGCAAAGTTTTGTGAAATTGTAAACACCAGCCTTATCCTTGGACAAAATAACATTGCAGTGATTGCCAACAAAAAGGCCATCATGGTATGCCTGTCTTTTTATGTCCATTTCCTGTAAAATTTGATCATTTTTTTTTCTGTTGGCCCAACGGTGCTTTTCAGTTCCTGTCCAATGGATGAAATGGTGTCAGAGTGTTGTTTCAAATGAGAATAGGCTGATTGTACAAGTGTGTGATATTTCTGACAACTATTTTCAGCTGCAAATTTGACAGGAAGTCCCTGACATCTCAAACAAGTGTATTCGACCTCAGACATAGCACTTGTGTCTTCATCTGAAAGACCCTCACACATCATGTGTTGCCACTGATCACACAAGTCACACATAACCCAAACTATTCAGAACATGAATGAATCACACATAACTATTCAGAACATGAACATGAATGAATCATACATAATTCAGAACAAGTATGAATCTGTGTCATTTTTTGTGACAAGACAGATTTCTGCTCCGCATGATTGAAGATTCCCTGAACTTTTTTTAGGGCGCCAACCTTTTTCCCCACTCATTGCATTTTTGGCCAGTTGTTCTAGTTCGAGTGTTGCCAACACCCAACTTCCGGGCTTTTCCATGATTTTCAGATAACTGAGAACATTTTGAATGTCATGTTCATTCTGGGCCACCTGTTTTTTGCAAACATGTCTCTTTCTCTCTGTTAAGTTCCAAAATTTTCCTCTCCACTTCTGGGGTAATTCCCAAAGTTTAATTGATGGCCCTGGCATATTTTTCCAAAATCCTAAAAAACATTGTAACCATCCCAAGAGTCACATGCAAAGTGGGAACAACAACATTGTCTAGGGACTTTAGAGGAAAACAGTAGAGCCGATGACTGACAAGTGATCTTTTCCTTTCTTCATGAGCTTCCCTGCTTGTCAATCATCAACAACATTTTCTGCATAATTTAGCAGGTAGTCATTAACATGGCGCAATGGAATATCACAGGACTCAGGAGTGTGTGAACTCTTGGAGTGGTTTCTGAGATGATGCAAACTAACCTTGTCATAAAGAGAAGGGAAAGATGCACCTTGATGTTCCAGAGTTGCATAGAGGAATTTATAATCACCTCTGAAAAGAACAGTGACAGAAAGTCCACAAATTTTGAAACTTGAGTCCCGCAGGTGTTGAAAATCTTCCCAAAATTTTGCCATGGCCTTGATTTGGTTTTCAGCTACATACAAAGAATATATTTTGCATGAAAATCCTAACCCACTAATTTTTGGAGAACAGGCCAAACAATGAAATTTCATGCTCTTGTCTCCTTTATCAGCTGGAAAAAGGATAAAAACTTTGTCTACATGACCAAAACAGTCACTGTCTTTTTGCAGCATGTTCTGAATAGTTTGGGATATATAGTCAAGTAGATTCTTCACCTGGGACACTGGCATCTCAACAAGTTTTCTGTCATTGTCACCCTTATTTTTTGTGTCCATGAGTATAATTTTGGTCTCAAGTTCACTTTCAGGGCAAACAAGAGTTTCCTTGTGAGAACACAAAAGGAAAAATTGTAATTCCATAGGCTGCCAGGGGGGTTTTCAGATGTCTCATATTTGCCCAAGGAAAATCAAGTCTAAGGTTTACTGCCTGAACAATTGTTAAATGCAGCCAGGTTTTAGATTTGAGGAATTGAGCTAAGGAATTTTGGAAAATGTCATTTTTGTGGTGCTGAATGTGGTGTCCAAAAAGCAAACCAATTTCATGCAAATAAGTTTCTTGGTCAGTGTCTTTTTAATCAATGCCAGAAATTAATGCTGAGACAATATGTCTGGAGATGCAAATTTTTAGATGTAACTTTAGAATTTGTTTTGCATCCAACAAGCAAAGAAATAAAAATTTTGTCATTGTGGCTTTCATCCCAAAAAATAGAACCGGAATAATCATCCACTGGGGAAAACTGACTTTTTGGGATCAAAACTAAATTGCTGGTTTGGACCATCTTGGACTCAAATCTATTAACCATTGTTGTATTCAAGTCTTCAATGCCTTCCACATCACCAAATTTTTTTGAGGCAGAAATGTTCTTGATTGAATCCTGGAGCATTTTTGATTTTTTCTGAAGGGCCTGAGTTGTCCATTGTTTTGCAGATATTTGAGCAGAATATTTTCTCTTGTGGCTCTTATTTTTAGCTTTAAGATTGGCAATCACTTTCTCATAATCTGAAAGAGATTGCTGTAATGAAAGATTTAGGCTCTTCAAAATTCTTTTGCTAGGGCTTTTATAATTTGACTGCCCTGGTCTCAGTGGAGTGGACATGGAAACTGAAGAAAAATTAGCCATGCTTTTAGCTGAGGATGAAATAGAAGTGCAAGGCAATGAATTATAACCATTTTCGTCCCCACTAACTGAAAGAAATTCGACAGAAGAAGAACCTGTAAAAGATGGGAAAACTTTTAAACTTCTCACTACAGAAGACCATCTACTTAGCAAATTTTCTAAATGCAACAGCAAATAATTTGAGCCCATTAAAATTTGCCTCAACTGTGCCAGGAACTCCATACAAACGGCGCAAAACACCTACAAGAGATTCCTCATCCGAAAACTTTGACTTTAATGACCATACAATTCCATTGGTAATTAATGCCGCATTGGTTATGGAAAAATCATCAAAATAACTACGGGGCAAATCCAAGGAAGCAATAATATCCTCTATGGTTAACATAATGGCAAAATATCATGCACTGTCTTATTTCT